TGTAAAGGGTTTTGTGCTGTAGTTAAGAATTGATCATAAGCTCTGGCTTTTTCATGGTCCTGCCACTGACCTTGTAATTGATTTGGTGAGCAAGTTGTTTTTTTTTCTCCTCTCTTGTGTTTGGTTTGATATAGAATAATTGACTTTGCTTGCTGTAGTGTGTCTGTCCAGGCTATGTTCTTTGTCTTTAAGCTCTTTCGTTTTATTTCCATGTTCTTCCTCATGAGAACCAGTTAGGATTTTGTGCGAGGTACATTTAGGTAAGTTTAGGTTTAGGGATTACAACCAGTGCAGTGTCCTCACAAGTATAACAAGACTAAGGTGTGGGCGCTTATGTGTGCTCTCCTGATTACATGTGTATGGGCAAGTGAGTTTACATTTGCAGCAAGCTGACCTGTGTTACAGCGAGTGTAATTGATTGTGTGTGCTGGTGTCTCGGTGTTAAGGTTAATTTCTCTAACTGCTGGTAAGTGCTGTCTGACCGCTCCCCTGGCGGCCTCTCCGAGCTGAAGTAATGCCACTTAGAGGCCCTGGGCCCCCGCCACTGGCCAGCCCATTGATCCGCTGATCAATAATCGCATCTGTACCGTACACTGAGCAGGCAGGCTCCCGCACTGACATGACGCTAACACACTGACTGTTGTAAGGCACACAGTCACACCACACAAATGGTTAGCAAACTGTGGTTCAGGGATCACCAAAGGGTCCTTTAAAGGGGAGTCTCCTCCAAAATTAGGTTTAGTTTCATTTCAGTTTAATGTCTTTCAGTAGAAGTTATCCCATTTGGACTATAGATTCACTCTCATCACTATTATCTCTCCATACAGTGCAGACATATTGTGTTGCCCTTTTCTGATCAACATACAACACTTCGAGTATAAAAAACAATATGTGCATCGTGATTAAAACAATTTCAACTCTACTACTGCTTTTTAGCAAATTAGAATTAAGTGGAAGTCACTGCACTGGCCAATGGCAAAGAAAAGCTGATGCTTCAACTAAAGTCGACATTTGATTCATTGCAAAATGTAGAATGCAACTACAATATTTTATTTTCTGTGTCATTTGTTGCTGTCCTGTATCTCTCTGTCCCTTCCACTCATCTCATTCTCTTTTTTTCCCTCTGACTCTTTGTTTCTTGTATTCTCACATTAACCAGAGTCATCTGGATAGAGAAATAAAATGGCATACACATACTTCTTCAGGATGTTCAAATCTGAAAATTAGTATTCATAAAGTTTATATAATAAGTGAAATTCCCCCACATATATTATGAGCTATGTACACGTTTATTATCAGTCTCTGATTCAGTTTTACAGTAAGACATTTCTTCAGACAGTTCTGTCATCAGGAAATCAAAATGACATCGCCGCCCATCTCTGCATCCTTTACTTCCTCCTGTTTTATTCCTCTCAGGGAGCCTCCATCTTGTTTCAGATCACAGCCAATAAAGCAGCCTGTCTCTCTCTCATTCTTTCTCTCTCTCTCATCCTCTCTCCTACTTCCTGTTAAAGGAATCAGTCAGTCAGAACACTCAAAACACATATTAAACAGGCATCAGCCTCTCGCCGGGGCCAAATCACGCTGTTCAAATGTTGTTCTTCCACCGGGAGCGCAGGACAACTGAAGAGATGGGATCTGCAACATTAACTTGATTCACGGCTGCGGCGACTGAGTGACACTCCATAAACCTCAGCGGGCCGCCGCTGGGCCCCGCCGACAGCACCCCATGGCTAATGTGATACACACTACCAACGCATAGCCTTACCACCCCCACAGCACTGCACACGCTCTGACATGCACACACACACACACACACACACACACACACACACACATATGTATATACTCTGTGTGTATGTATGTGTGTGTGTATGTATATATATATATATATATATATATATTCAAATATATATATACATATACATACACAATGTGTGTGTGTGTGTGTGTGTGTGTGTGTGTGTGTGTATATATATATATATATACACATATAAGTAAGATCTAGCAGGGATGGGCATATACATACAAATACACAGAGTAGCACATATTGTACAGACACACACCAGTAAAGCCTGACCTTAACATGCCACCCACTTACTGAATGATTTCAGATAATCACAATACATACATGCATTAACACATATTTGGCACAAACTGGCAAAACTGAGCTGTACCAAGCTGAACATACACATACAGTCAAGAGTTCTCACACTAATATGCCCTCTCCCTCTTAAACACACACACACACACACAGATATAAACAGGGTTTATGGTAATGCAGCAGAAACTGCACAACCACTGAGTTATTGTCCTCTCCAGCCGACCTCTCAGCTCGCAGCGTTTTGGCGTAGGCAGTTAGCATCGGCCCTGTAGCTCTGTGTAAAAAGGTAACCTCTGCTGCTCAAAATGCCAACTTCCTCTGGCTGTCTTCGACAGTGCTGACTCCCTCCACACACTAACTACCGTGCTTGTCACTTGAAATACAAATAGTACAGTCCGAATTGATATTTACTACACAGACTTGTTGCCCGTGTACTGCGGCGTCACAGTGAATTTCTTGTTTGTTTGCCTTTAAACAAATGCACATTGTTCTCTTCTACTACATGAATAAGGAGAAAGAGATATACAGCAGATCTGTGGAGATAAATAAAGACTCATAGCGTGAGAGAGGCCTAAAGTCTTACTCTGTAGGTCAGAATCAGGGAGTTGTGCACTTTATATTCAAAATTGCATATTTCAGCTATAATGTAAAATGTAGCCCTGATGGCATTCTAAACAAGACCCCAGAGTACCAAGAAACCTCCCTCTTATAAAGCTCAGTCGGATTGCTTGGTTGTCCTTTACTCTAACAGGAAGTGCCTCCATAGTTTGTAGTAACTGGTCTTACCAGGTATGAAAACATACTAAGAGAAAAATCTTCTGAGTGGAAGAGTGAAAACAGCTTTATCCTACAAAATTACCCTGTCCATCTACACTTAAAAGACTACATTCTCTCTTGACTCTCCCATTGTCAGCTTTTGTTCTGTGACATGTAGATTTGTAAATTCTCTATCATTTGTTAAGTCCATTATGATTCAACAGCAGAAAACACTGGCTAACTCCTCTCCTTTTCTGCATAAATCAAACAAGTCTTTGTGAGAGGAGATTGTTGAAATGTCCTTTGTCTTTTGTCCACTGTTCTTTTTTAGCTACTCCCTAAAATAAACCTGGCAGGTGTAGACAGGTGTGGGTGTATGTGTGTGGATGTCATTAAAATAACTAATCATCCAGCCTTAGAGCTGCAACAAGTTCTCATCTTCTCACTTTAAGGATAATGCCAGTTCTTGATGATTTGTCATACTGTATGCTAAAGTGTGAACATTTGCACATGACAGATTTATATATCGGAGGCATCAAGATAAGCCATCTTTTGCACCCTTCTCATTAGATATTGGCCAAGGTCAACAATGAAAATGAGAAATCAGAATATTTCTTTAAAGACCTGAAATGGACAGGAAGCATCAGTGGATGCATGTGTTGATAGAAAAGACTATATTTTTATCTTGAATGCTCTAAAACCAAGTTCTTAGCTGAACCTGGGAGCTGCTTTTAAGTCTCTGACACACAGCTTTAACACCTTTAACTTTGCTTTCAGTCATTAAGAACAATAGGTGTGTTCCACGCTTAAGGCATAAAGTGTTCACTGTTTCCTCCAGTGATTCTTCGATAGTCCATTTTGAGAGTGTATCTGTGTAGAATGAACAGGCTTTCTGTCACCAAAGGACTTAGTGGTCAATGCCTACTTGTCCAATAAGAGCAAGAGTTGAAGCTAGCACATCTCTGTGTCTGTTTACACTGGAGGAGGACAGGGCACTGTTGGGTCAGACACTGTTTGCAGCACAACTCTGACTTTCTGATCACATTGTCAACCTTGTGAGTGCAGGACATTAAATGTCTGGGGGAGATAGGAATATCAATGATTGATGAGTTTGTTCCTGTATGTACTGTGGGATCTGTGTGATCTCATCACTACCCTTGGGGGTAAACCTTGTACCTCCAAAATGTCAGGTTTTCAAGAACTGAGCAAAAAACAATAAAGTTTTTTCTTATTTCCTAAAAAAGGAAGAGTCTTTCATAAGCCTACAGGGTTGTAGAATCTACAAACTTTAAAGTTTAAACCTTCAGGAGAAACTAAAACATTGCAAATTAGGGTAAATGTACTCTTCCTGTGACAATAATGTGTGTGCTTTCTGTATTTGTACAATAAGTTCATCTGTGCTCGGAAGCCAAGGCGTGAACAGAGTCCCTGCTTCACTGTCTCAACTTCCCATTTTTCTGCATAGATTAGCCTACAAGTGTCTGAGCCAGGCGCTGTTTAAACAATGGCACTTCTAACACTGTTCCTATCACCTTGGAGACGCCATGGCAACCTGTGATCTGAGAGGGCACAGTGTGGCTCAATTAGCACCAGCCGTATCTCACCGCACTCGTCCGCCAGCCTAATATCTCCATATTCTGTCTCCTTTCATGCATTAAGTGACACAAATATGTGAAGTGTTACATCACCTTTTATATCAACTTAGCTTTCCTTATAGCTTTTTCCCTTTTTCTCAGTGATTGGTGCATAAACATAGCAAGTTCAACAGTTGTGGTAACAGAGAACATTAGAGAGAATATGACCGGCCATGTGTGGTATTGTAGGTGCAGTAATTGCTATGCCTATTTTTGTTCTTTTGGATGTGATCCTGATCCTCTTGCCATTGAATATTTGCTTTTTATATTCTGATTCTATTCCATTGGACACCAAAATATCACTTCTATCTCTGGTTTTGGCTCCTGTTGTCTTTTCTCCCTGTGTTTTTGCTGTTATAACACATGTCATGGCAAAAGGAAGATTTTAAGTGCTTCAAAGTTTTCACTGTTCTTCGCAGTTTTAGTTAAATTTCAAGTTTTAGCAATGTAGGAATTGAATACCAGTGTCAGCAAAGTAACTTCAAATGTGTCTCTGTGTTCCTCAGGTATCGTGTCCAAGTCTTTCGAGTGTCGTCTGAAGGGTCAGGGGGCTACTTTTGTGGAATCGGAAGCCGTGGACTCCCCCGTCAGCAAGAAAGGTTCATCTGATGCATCCAGCCTGGATGATTCTGTCCAGCAGGTCATCATCATCCAGGGCTACGGCGACGGGGAGGTGGCCATCGACCAGGCCCTGGAGGAGTCAGCTGCTGCCACCTTGCAGACGCTGGCTATGGCCGGCCAGGTGGCAGAGGTGCTCCACATCACCGAAGACGGACAAGTCATTGCCTCAGGCAGGGAAGTAGCATCCGCAGGGGCCCACCTGGCTGGAGGCAGCACCCAGTATGTGGTGCTGGAGTCGGGGGAGGCCAGGAAAGGGTTGCGGGCTGTGGCTAGAGGAGGGGTCGCAGCCGCAGGACAAAGTCACATTGTTTCCGAGTCGTCCACAGCTCTGGACGCTCTGCTCAGCGCCGTCAGCGAAATGGGCCATCAGGAGGAAATGCACGGAGAGGCTGCCATCGTTCATGAGGTCTTGACACCTGAGATAGCCGAGGCTGCGCGGAGGGGATCGCACCTGAACGTGAAAGAGGAGCAGGAGGTGCAGGTCATCCAGGAGGCCGGCCAGGAGGAGATGCAGGAGGTGCTGCAGCTTGCCGCATCCCAGATGATGAAGGAAGGTCTAACCCAGGTTATTGTTAATGATGAAGGAACCCATTACATTGTGACAGAGCTGGACAACTGCACCTTGCAGGTGGAGGGAGGCGTGTACGGAGAGGCCGGGGCAGGCGATGGGGAGGTGCAGCAGACAGAGCAGCAGGCTGGAGAAGAGATGGTGGTCTACCTGGATGAATCCTCTCATAATATAGTTCTGGAAGGGTAGAGGAGAGAGAGATTAACTAAAAGAGGTACACTTATTGTTTCATTTCAGTTTTTTAATTCTGTTAATGGCTGCATTAGGCCAAATGTTTGCCAGTAAATCCCCTACAGTTTTCCTTTTCCCTTGTCCTATTTCATTTTACCCAGTTTGACTCTTTTTTTTTTTTTACTATCCTCTCTTGGCTATTCTAAACTCAGGTTAAACATCATTTATTTAGAGAGACGGTGACGGAAAGAGGTTTTGGTGCTAAGTGAGTTAACTTGCAATCCTTACAACCCCCAAGACTACACAAACCTCTTGATCGATGCCATGCAACTTATGGAAATGATTATATTTCCTCCTGAAATATTTTTTAAAAATGCGTCTGACATACTGAGAGTAAAATGATTAATTATAAAAGAAAATGTGTATTCTGCTCTGTAGTGGCAACAATGACTTTCCCGCAAATGCTTTTTCTTAATACTTCTGTTTAATATTATTTCAAGTTGTGTTTGTGTTGTTAGAATTTTGCTCACGTCATATGACACAAAGGTTTATTCATTTCTTGCCTATTTTTACGTTTTTTCTTTCTATATATATTATCATTTGTGAAACTATAAGCTGATGGATTTTTTAAAAATTCCAAAACCTTCAGATGATTTATATGTAACAAAATAGAGTTGATAATTATACATGTCAGTTTTTTGACAACCCCTCAGCTGTTGCTGTCAGCTGTGCAAGTTCAGCTTTTGGGAAACCTCTAAAACAATTAATGCAATTTCATTTCTGACAATAAAGTTTGAGCTTAATTTTTAACAACCATATCCAGATGTCTTTCTTAATAGTATTTGCTGTCAGTTGCCACATGAAGCTCACATTTCAGCATCGATACTGCGATTACATGTGCAGCGCCATCGAACAAGCAACATGCACATACATGCATCAGCTGATGGCTGCCATCATGCTTGCTGATCGCTAACACAGTCATTATCATCACCATTATCATTATCGTCATCATGATCACCGTCATCTTAATCGTCATACTATCTTCTCTCCCCCCATCAGGCCCATTCTGTTCATTGCATACAACACACTCGTCCTTTTTTCCCCAGCAGTATTCAGCACTGGAGGGAGAATCAATATTCATTTAGGCCCCTACACAGGCCTGGTTTCTGATGGAGTGAGTGGGAGAGCAGTATGACGGCTGCAAACACAATGGCCAACCGCTGAAAGTACAGAGACAAAGCACTCATACACACTGAGGGCATCAAAAGATCATCCCTTTAACACACACACACACATACAACGCGCACGCAGAGCGAGAAGGTGGGCAGAGAGAGAGAGAAAGTGGTGGAGGAGTGGGCAGGAAAAATGAGAGGATTACAGATGGATGTTGAGAGAGGTGAGGCCAGAGAGAAGTGAAAGAGCAGAGTGAAATCCACAACCACACAGAGAGAAGGGAGCCTGTAATTTCACATAACACCTGTCTGCCTTTCAGCCTGTCTTTGTCTCCCGCTCCATGTTGCATTTATAAACTCGCGCAGTCTTTTAGGGCTCTTCTTTTTCCATTCAGTGAAGAGAGGCGCATTTAACAGGTCATGTTCTCTGTGTGCGTGTCCGTACGTGCCTGTGAGCGGGAAACCAAAGTTTGTGAACAACAAAGTGAGGTAAGAGTGGTGAAAGAAATTCAAACCGTTACATTTGAAAGCCTCATGTTTATAGAATTTACCCTATAAATACATGATAGACCTTTTTCACAACAGCCATTTTGACATTAAATAGTAGGGTAAACCCTGGTTGACACATTGATACTAATTAAGGTTCCGATCCATTCAGGACAAACAGAGTCAGGGGGCTGCTATTGTACATATATTTTGGCTCACTGGAAAGGCTCTGCTACACTAAATGGAATAGAACCTTAATCAGTATCATTGGTACCACCTGTGATTACCCTACTATGTCAAAATGGCTGCTGTGAAAAAGGTCTATTTTTTTTTGTTCTTTTTTTGTCCTGATAAAAGTCTTAGGGCCCCTCAGATTTATTTTATAACCCTCAGAGGGTTCCTGACCCTGGGTAGGGAACCACTGCATTAAACAGCTACACATTTTAAAAGAAAGTAGCAGATGAGATAAGTCAAAGTGAGTGACCTGAGCTAAACTGGGTCACTAACATCTCCCAGTTCACTGTGTGTGTTGGTGTTTTTGTTCTCAACAGGAATGTCTGTCTGCGCTCGTGCTCGCACATTATTCTGCCCGTCTGGCTGAGTGATTGTGTACTGTATTGTGTGCATCTCCACCCTCCCCGTGTATGTCCCTAATCAGGGCTGGAAGGCTCATTATTAACTGCAGCAGGCCACTCGTGTGACATGGAAGAGAGAGAAATTAGCAGCTGTCACCCAGTGATGAGTTCATTTCCTGACAGGCCTCTGCTCCGAAGAGTCCTGCTGCAGACGACCAGACGGCTGATGGAAACCTGCTGCTGAAGCTTAATTGGAGAGCCGGAAAAGGGCAGGGGGGAGGGGGGATGAGCTCAGATGGAAAGATGAGGGTAAAGAAGTGGGAGCAAGGGTGGAAGTAACGCATTAAAGTATTAAGTAACATTTAGAATTTAACAAAAAAAAAGAAAGAAAAATCATTTTTCATGGAACACATCATCTTATCAAATATGATACAGTGCTTTAGATTAAACTATCCAGAAGTATGTCAAATAGTTAGCTCCTCTACACTGACATTAAAATGCTGCTTACTCTTAAATACTTGAGTAACAATAATCAAAGAATATAATATGCAGTATAAAATATTTCATTCTGAAAAGGGATATTCTGCATAATGATTACTTTTATTTTGGATACTTTAAAGCAGCTATAATCAATATTCATATATTAACGACAGCTCACAAGACTATGATATGTGAAAGGGCTCACTCTTAGTGATAAACCTACTGGACAATTATCCCCCAACTCTGTAGTCTCCCTCAGCTAAACTGGAGTTTGTAGTGTCTTTTAGCTCATTGTTTTGGTTTTCCAGCCTGAAACTGAACTGTTTTGGTTTTTTAGTGCAGCGGGCAGCTGTTTCCAGGAAAGAAGCTCTAAAAATCCAGCAAACACTACCTGCTCAGCACTAAATAGCAGACAAACATAGTTAACGACTAGCAGGTCGTATATTTAGCTGCTACAGAGCCACATATTTCTCCCAGGAGATAGTGGAGATCAAACTAGATCCAAAAGGGAGTGAATGTTGGGAATACATTCATCAGGTGGCCAGAAACACAACTCCAAATGAATGCTAATGTTGCTCCATATCTGCAGGATGTGTAAATAGGCAACTTTCCCATATCAACTTAAAACATGATAACATGTCAGTGTTGTGTTTACAGCTTGTTTACAATAGTCCCAAATGGCCAAACAGACCTTTATTGCCAGGTTAAGCACATTTTGCTAACACCCACACCCTGAAGACACCATATCTCCAAGGTTTCACTTGTATACTCTGCCATGAATTGTGCCTGGTTTATTTTTAAGACAGTGCCAAAAGTCTAATCTATTGATATACTGCATGTTTATATTCACTTTGATGAAAGTCCCACATAGTATTAGCATCCTGTGGGTGGAACAGCTGGTGGTAAACGGTTAAAGCCCTGAAGGCAGGATATTTACTTCTAATGATGTATTTTTACATTGTGGCATTGCTACTTTAAGGATCTAAATACTTTTAACTGTAACCCACCATGGGCTGGGTGGGAGTGGAGTGTAGAGGGTGACACAAAAACACACACACACAAACCTAAACGCGCACTCACATGGACACTCACAGAAACACTAACTTGCACCCACTCCCGGGGGCAACTCTCATCACTCTCCTGGGGACAACTGAGAGGGACAGGAGTGTGGATGGGCGTCTCTCTCTCTCTCTCTCTCTCTCTCTCTCTCTCTCTCTCTCTGTTTCCCTGAGTATGATAAATATGGCAATTCTGTTTAGTCGCCATCTATAGAAAACATATCAGCCCGGGGATCATTTTCTTAATGTCTCCGCTATTAGTTTTGCCTTCCCTTTGGCAGTATTAGCATGCCGGCTGATACGCTCTGCTTGTGTGTGTGTGCGTGTCCTCAGGGCTCCAGGTACAATTCTATTAAACCCGACTTGTTTGTTTATTTCCTGTCTGTCTCCCTCTACATGTGCCCTGCTTGCTAGAACCTCGAATCCTGGTGTGTACATACATCCACGCTAATGTCGATATAGGCCACGTATAGCTACATGTACAGTCTGAATCCAGTGTTTGTTTTTGTCATTTTTGTTGCTGTAAATCGATAGTTGTTTGAGGCCGAGGTGGAGCGCAGGGGAAGCCACGGTTCAGTTACGGTTCATCTCTTCCATGGGAGTTATTATGGGAAAATGGGGAGGAGGGAGGGGAGGGAAGGAGGGGTGTGGGGGGAGCCCTGCATGGATCTTCTCCCTTTCTCTTACTTTTCCTATGTGGCTCTGCATTTGTGTCTTTGATCATGTTAATCCCTGCCTAGCGCCCACCCCCCCGGTCTCCCTGCCATAGACTCACTGCCACACACACCTCAGCGCCTGACAGAAATTGACAGCCCACTCTATCCCACACATACACACCCCCTCCAAAATGGCAAGCATTCTCCATTCCTCCATAGAGCAGCTTACCCCCTCCCCGAAAAGGAATAAAATAAAACACCAGGCAGGCAGGCAGGCAGGCAGTCCCATTGACGGTCTGCAGCAGCACTTCATTAAGGAGAAGCAGTGATTGAAAGGGGATCTGATTAGCTCACTATGATGAGATAGCAACGTTTCAACCTTGAACCAGAAACAACTGTAAGTGCTTTTTAATTAGGCACACAACACTGAGGAATAGCACTTCAAAACATAAAAAGAGGGAGTGAAAGACAGAGTATCTCAGGCAGAAGGGAAAGTAAATGATGAGGCAAAGAGTGGATCAGTGGGAGGCCTATTCCCTCTGCCCTTACAAGAGCATTACTTTTTCAACACCATGCACATCATGGAAGAGAAACTTTAAATTGAATTGAGCTGAAATGCTCTCAAAACAGTTCCAGTTTGGTTTCTTCTCCATTTAGATTTACAATATTTAAAATTATATAGAGCTCTTGAGGGTAAGAAAATGTCATGCTTTGAATCTGCGCTCTTGAATTAAACAATTTGACATCCTCAATTTTATATCAGTGGCCTTCACAGAGTCTGATTCACGTGTATAGACTCTGAGAAGTCGGCACGCTACCCTGTGCCAACACGCCACTCTGTTTAAATAGCAGATCTTCACTGTCAGCCTGCGATAACACCTTTCCACATAGCTGCTGCAGCCATCTGCTTCATGTCAGCCCTGCCATATAGGGGTTAACTCTGTTGGTATATTCATTTTAGCAAAACAAACAGCGGGACAGATGAAGAGGAAAAAAATGGTACGATAGGGTTTTTAATGATTCAGAAAATATTTCATGATAAGGTGAAACTTTAATGTTTTACTTAGCAAAAAGTTAGGTCACTCCAGCAGTAAATACTGACAAGATACAACAAATGGAAAAAAAAACAACCTGTGCCCACACTGAAAATGCCTGTAAATAGACTAATTCACCAAAAACGAAGTAAAGGAACCAGTAGTTAAAGGTACCATAATAAAATTCTGAAGCATTTTACATATAATTTTTATTTATTATAATTTTCATTGACAATGTGACATAAAATTAGATCTTCCCCGCCTTTCTCAGTTGCCTGTGGACTAATTTGTTTTTCTATGTATTTTCTACAAACAAGTGGCGGCGGGTGTGGTTGGGCCGCCGGTGCTGCATAAT